GGACGCGGAGGGGGCGGTGCCGGGAGGGACGCGCCCCCGGCCTTCGCGGGAGCTGGAGCGGTCGCGGGGTCCCGTGGCCTGGGCAGCGCCTACCCTCTTCCAAACTTCGGGCTAACCCCCAGCTCGCTGCCGGCGCCGCCGGACGAGCGTTAGGGCGGCCCCCGAGCCCTCTCCGTTTCCGACGGCGGGATTCGCTCAGCCTTTTGGAAATCTCAGGGCATTTCTCCGGGCCTCGGAGGCCGTGGCTCTGGAGGGTAGAGGAACCATTGGTAGCGTCGAACCGACTCCCACTTTCCCGAGTGCGCTCACCTCCGCTGTGCTTTGAGGTTGGTCGCCCCGCCTTTCCCGAGGGACTCAAAGGGAATTAAATTTCGCTGTGCGAGCGGGGCCCCCGGGTCAGCTCCCATTCATTCGCTCATTCATTCAACAAAGCGTCCGCCCTGGGCTCTGGTCTGAGTCAAATCCACAGATCCGGGGCCCTGGGCTCATGGAGCTTCCATTCTTAGGAGATATTCAGGTTATCATGAGAGCATTATAGCCCAGGATCCGACCCAGTGCGGGGAAGAGGGGTGTCAGGGACGATTTCTCTAAAGAAATTATACTATTCTATGAGGAAACAGGCACAGAGCAGGGATGGCATTTGGCTCAAGATCTCACAGTTAGCAAGTGGAGAAACTAAAATTCAAACTCGCATCTCCTGGCAGCATGCCACTTGATTTTCCCTCCATCCAGAAGGTTCCATAATTATATCAAGTTGCTAGTATTCTCTCTCCTCTCTCTCTAACTGTGATGTAGCCAGTCACTTTATTCCCCTTGCATTTTACTTGATTGCATAACGGCTTAAGGGGAAAAAATAAATGGGTGGGGGAGGGAGTGGAAGAGTAGAAACAAAGTAAACAAACAAGTAACACAACAAACCACACTGTCTTCCAGCCACCTTTGGGTTCTTCAATCCGCCAGGAAAGCTCTTGGGTAAAACTGGGCGCTCTTCCTTCCCTCTCTGTACCAGTGTCCCATATCCAATCCACAGTTCCCAGGTAAGACGCGTCATTGCTGGTGGGGATGGAATCCACCTCCTGACGGCAGGAGTTTTAAATCCGTCTCCTCACATGTGGTTTTTCCTCTCTTTTTCATCCCCCATCAGCAGCACATGGGGGTTTCAACCGTATTAGGTCATCAGCTGACACTGAGCATATTTTATTCACCAAAGAGCGAGTGCTCTGAAGTTAGAGGGCAGACACCCTAATTTTTGTGGCTAAGCAGAGGCATCAGAGCAGACCGCGGGCCTTCCAGCACTGACCCAGGACACCCTCAAGTGTTTCCATATTGATCTTTGCTGCATCTGTTCTGCACCACACAGTGGCTATATCATTGCCTCTTATAGATCTTATCTGATGATGAGATTACTATTGCTCCCATATGGACACATCAAAGCGTATTAATTCATTGAAGGGCACTGTCTTCCTGCTCTGTGCAAGCTCCTTACCCCTAACTTTCCCTAGAGGGCAGGGACTGTGTCTTATCAGCGTTCTATTTCTCTTAACACCTAACAGGGTATATTACACTAAAGGGGGGGGGGGTCAATAAAATCAATTTAGTTTTTTGTCTCTGTGTTTAACTTCCGTTGAGAGTGTTTTTCTTTCTGTTTTTCTTTTTTCTTTTTTTGAATGCATTGCTTTCAGCTTGGGTAAACTGTAAGCAAGATCTCCACCTTGTGGGTAGAAGTAGAATAGCATCTAATTAGAGAAAAGGGTGCACATTTTTAATGAACAATAAATCGTTTAAGTTAAATTTTGAGAATATTGGGTGGCTACCATGGCTCATACCATGTGCTAGGTTCTATGGGGGAATCCCAAGTAGTTGCTGTTGCTGTCTTTTTAGCTGTTTACAAGAGCTATCCATAACCACAGGGATAGTTCACTGTAACCTCTGCAAGGAATCTGTCTTGTCTGTTGTTTTATGGCTTCCTGACACAATACCTGGCACTTAGTGGTGTTCATGAACAATTTGCTAGGTAAATCACTGGAATGTTAATGAGATGAAGCTCTGCAAGTAGCATATATGAAGTCTTTTTTTAAAAAAACACACATACCTTACTTACAAAAGGATATAGGTGAAGCGGCCTAGGCACATGATTTTCAGTCTGGGAAGGCTGGCCTCAAACCCAGTTACCCCAGCTCCCAGAATCTTCTAGTCATATGACTAGTACTGATGAAGAAACTGAGTCTTAAAGAAGTTGGCTAAGATCTTACACCTCAGAAGACAGACTGACTGGATCATAGGACCTTTGGCAGGCCTGCATGCACAGTGCATCCAAACGGAACGGGATGCACTAATAGAAACTTGAGTGAGTTCATTGACATGCAGAATTACAGAAAACCAAAGGAATAAATCAGCATAAAGACAAAAACCAACCCAACGTGGAATGCAGTTTTAAAGTGACATTTGATTATTTTAGACCAGTGATTTTTAACTGGTGTGCTGCAAGAATTTTTTAAAATTTTAAAATGCTCATGTGTTATCTTCTCCCAATGAAGATTCCTGGTGTACATTTTTATAATAAAGGCTATAATAAGTCCTGCAATAAATAAAAGCATTGAATTGGGGGAAAAAGACCACGTGCAATACCAGACTGTTTAGTCAGGGGCATTGACATCTTTTCCCTTAGATTGTCAAATAAAAAATTGACAACAGAAAACACAACAATAGCCGCCCTGTATGAATGGACCAAAATTAAACCTATTTTTTGATCAGATCAGCAAAAAACACAATACATGTTTTTGGTGTGGAGCAGAACTTTAGAAATCAGTTTATGTGTGTCATGAGATGAAAAAGGTTGAAAATCACTGTTTAGACAGTGTTTAACAACGCTCCTCTGTTTACCTGTAAGATGAAAACACTTTTGCTCTCCTTCACTTCCAGGCCTGAGGACACCTCGCCACATGCCCATGGCCACACCACTGTGGCTCCTGGGGACAGCACAGCTCATCACAGTGTGTAACCTTGGTCCCATCTGCCCCTGTGGCAGTTGCTTGGGGATGAGGGAAGGTGCTGCTCACCTGTCACAACATCGGTACTGATTTTCACCTTGAAAACTTCATTAATACAATTACGCAGAGCTTCTCTCTGAGCCTTGATTTCCAATTGCCTCAAACTTTCCCACAGTCCTGTTTGAAGAATGACCTGGTTCCTATAACAGTGCCTCCCGGGGAAGAGAGAGGAGGTGGAGCTGAAGTTTGGGAACAGGGTAGCAGGCTTGGAGTTGGAATATTTTCCAAGTCTGGTGTTTCCATTTTCCGGCTAGTTATTTCCCTTCTATGAGTGTCAGTTTCTGCATCTGAGAAATGAGGATAGGAAATCTTACCTCATGCTGTTGTTACGAAGTTGTAGTGAGATGTGAATAATCACCACCAAACATTAGCTGGGAACACTTACTGAGTGCTTATGATAGGCTTGACCTAAGGCTTTCACCCTCCCAGCAGGTATTATTGTCCCCACTTTACAGATGAGAAAACTGAGGCATAGCCAGTAATGGATCTGAATTCAAGTAAATGGCAGAGCTGAGATTCCCGAATGATGGAGGAAAAACTTGTAAACTGATAGGAAAATGTTAAACGTAAAAATTATTGCATAAAATCAAAGTAGATTCAACTCAGATTACATTTTGCTTTGAAATGCTCTCTGGGGTTGCTGCTAAGTGGAATGGTTAAAAGCATGAACTCTGAAGTTGGATTGGGTTTAAAACTAACCAGATGTGTGGCCTTGAGTAAGTTACTTGACCTCTGTGGGCCTCAGTGTACTCATCTGTAACATGCAGTAATAATGATATTATTGGTATTACTAGTATTAATTATAACAATTACATAGCATCTGATAATGAATAGCAATTAATTAATAGTAACAAGCTCCATAGCTTATTGTGATGATTAAGTTAGCCCTATCAAGTGCTTAAAAGACTGTCTGAGAGTTCACTATTATTTTCATTTTGTTACTCCCTTTCCTCCCTGTGTCACTGTTTCATGTCCAGATGGAGGCCTTCTTGGGTCTTGAGAGACCTAATTAAGTGGCATTCCTGCCCCGTGCATCCTCTTTATGCCCCAGATGGGCATCTTCCCTGAAAACTTTGCTAGACTCTACCAAGGTTCCCAGTGTAGCTTTCCTTGCAAGCCTAGAGCCTCAAGCAGCTGGCTTCCTCTTAGTACTCTGCCTCCTGCAATCCCAGCCTTTTCCGGGTCTGCTGAGTTACAAGACCCTCCCAAAGATAGAGGCTTCAGAACGTACCCTTCTGGATGCTTCTACAAGAAGGAAGAGGGAGAAAGACCATGCTGAAGAGAGGACTACAATATTCCTTGAAACCGGGTATAACTCTTGTTTCAGCCATCACTCCTGTGTGACCTTGGGTGGCTTTCTAACCTCTCTGGGTCAATTTCATTATTTGTGTTTCCCTCTTCTGAATTCTTTCTCCCCACTAGGGTACATTGGTTTTTTGTTTGGAGATCTTTTTCTTGGTATTTCTCTATTTGACCATGATCCGGGTCTCCCAGGAATTGCTTAAATGATCTCATCCGCACATACCTGGTTATCGGAGGCAGGTGTATGCACACCTGGTTTCGGGTAAATCCTACTGGATAGCTAGGAGGTCAGGAAATGTAATAGTCTTTGAATTAACCCGTCTGCCTGAATAAGTCCCACTTTACACACTGTGTTCTGGAAAGAATGTCAAGGTTGACATGAACCCTTAATTTATGATGAGACTAACATTTTTAGGATTCTCTTTATTCACGTCCCTCTCTTTTTGACCTGCTTTTGAAAAAGGTTCCTGTAGCCTGGAGACTAGAATACGTTAGAGACCAGAATCTAAAGGTTAGAGCATTGGTGAATTAATTTAGTAAATTTTAGAGCAGTTGTGGACACATACCTCAGCCACATGTCATCGCACCCTAGTTATAGGAGATGATGGTAAAAATTCTGGACTGGGAATTTAGGGACATGAGTTTCTTTCTCTACTATGACTTAGTTCAGCTGCCATTTATTGTTCACATGCTAAAGGCCAAAGAACTGGCCACTAAGTGATGGGGCATCAGATTTGCTCTTGTCCTAAGTCCTGCATCAGGGAATGTCTGTTGTCACCTCTTCGTCTTCCCCCTTCCCTTCTCCTTGGCAGGTGTCCCATACTCCTCCCTGGTGCCTGGCGCTGGAGGGGAGGCTGAATCCTGGTTGGGCTAAACCAGTCATGGTGCTGTCAGTTCCCTCGCCAGTGTTTGGTTTAGGCCTAGTCATAAGCATGTGGTTCCATTCTGGCCAGTGAGACCTGAAGGAAAGTCTACAGGAAGGTTTCTGGAAAAGATGTCTGTGCTATGACAAAAAGCCACAGAAAAAAGCATGGCGTCTTTTCTCAATGGTTCAGGTCCAGGTGTGAGGCTGAGAATTGGGGCAGTTATTACATAAGTGCAAGCGGAGCTATGTGCATGCATTGAGGGTGGCAGAGCAGAAAGATGGAAGGAACCTGGGTCCTTGTGATGTCACCAAGCCCCCAATTATCAACACTGGAGCTGCCCTTCCTCTGGACTTCTACTATGGTTTAACCCACTCTGAGTTGGGGTGTTTGTTGTTTCCAGCCGTCAGATTCCTAAGTGATACACCTCTCACACAGGAGCTTTCCCACCAGAGAGGGGCAAACATGTGAAAAGGCCTCCTCCATCACAACTGTGCTGCCGGGGAGGCAGTGTGGTGAAGTCTTTGGAACGTGTGTTCTGCAGCCAGGCTGAGTCTCACACTTACTGTGCTATCTTGGGGAAGTCCCTGAAAGTCTCTGGGCCTATTAACTTATCTGAAAAATGTGCCTGCCTCATAACATTATTGTGTGGATGAAATGTACATTAAGCACTTAGTAAGTGCTCAATAAATATTTTATCAATTAGAAATATAAAATACATTAGGGTACAGAGGAGGGAGCAACAAATTCTACCAGGGAAGTCCAGGAAGGCTTCACCAACGGGACAGATGTTGAGTCTTGAACGGCAAATGGGTTTTGCAG